GAGAGAGCGAGAGAGAGAGAGAGGAGGAGGAGGACGACGAGGAGGACGAGGACGACGAGGACGAGGAGATTTTCAGCTCACTGTAGATCTCAACGGAGTCGAGGAAATGCATTCGTCTATCGCAGACATCGCCCTGACCCCCGTAGCCTACGAGGAGCATGAGAACAGCAGGCAACTTTTGCTCTACCTCCAGCGACGTAGAGGGAGCCGGCGGCAGAGCAGGCGGCAGGAGTAAAGCGCTTAAATGTCATCCTAGCACAAGATTTCCACCCACTGTCTGCGCGCAAGTCCAAAATCTGCCATAAAGGTGTCAATGGGGAGAAGAGGAGCGGAGAGGAGAGGAGAGGAGAGGAGAGAAAAGGAGACGAGACGAGACGAGACGAGACGAGACGAGGGGAGAGGAGAGGAGAGGAGAGGAGAGGAGAGAAGACGAGAGAAGACGAGAGGAGAGGAGAGGAGCGGAGAGGAGAGGAGCGGAGAGGAGAGGAGAGGAGAGGAGCGGAGAGGAGCGGAGAGGAGCGGAGAGGAGCGGAGAGGAGCGGAGAGGAGAGGAGAGGAGGAGGGGAAGGGAGAATGGATGGGAAAGTGATCAGGGAGGGAACGAGCAGGTTTCACCTCGACATCCCTGAGATGTCTACGGCCGTTGTTGCCTCCTATCGCAAAGATGTTTCCCTCATGCTCAGTCACCGCATGCCAGGCTCGAGGCTGCAACATGCTGGGCTCCTTCCTCCTCTGCCAGGTCTCCACGTCGTAGCTCTCTACTAGCTCACACCTGAAGTCAACCATGAGGAAACAATCAGCCTCGGGCTCTTTCTCGTCACAATCTCCTTCATCATCTCGATTGTGATCTCCATTGTCATTGTCATCTCCATCATCATCTCCATCAACTCCATAATCATCGTCATCATCATCATTATCTACTTCTTCTTCTTCTTCTTCTTCTTCTTCTTCTTCTTCTTCTTCTTCTTCTTCATCTTCATCATCATTATCATCATCATCATCATCATCATCATCATCATAAGTAGCAGTAGTAGGATACTCGTCCCACAGGTCACAGTTTCTCACCTGCCCCCCGATGTGAGCGCATAGAATCCTCCCACCGCGAAGACTTTCCCCCCACCCTCGCAGCGCCAAAGTACCCTCGCTTGCTCGCCACCATCCTGTCTCAGCTGTCAGTCCTCCTCCTCCTCCTCCTCCTCGTCCTCGTCCTCGTCCTCCTCGTCCTCCTCGTCCTCCTCGTCCTCCTCCTCGTCATCATCAACCACCACCACCACCACCACCACCACCACCACCACCTCCTCCTCCTCCTCCTCCTCCTCCTCCTCGTCATCCTCCTCCTCCTTGTCTTCGTCCTCATCCTCCACACTAACCCGTCATATCCCTGCAGACTCGCGCACTTCATGTCCCAAGTGAGGCTGCTGGGACAGAACTTGTCGAGGCTCGAAAGGTAGTTGAACCCGTCGTATCCGCCGATGAAGACAACCCCTCCCTCCTCCTTCCTCTCACGCCCCTTCCTCCTCACCTCCTCCTCCCCTCCCACCTCCCTCCCACTTCTCCCACTGCTTCCAACCTCCATCACCATTGCCCTCCTCTTGCTTCTCTCGCCCTCTTGCTCCTGCTCCTGGCTCCCCCGTGAAAGAGAGCTGGCGAACATCGCAGAGAAGTTGAAGCTGCTCCTTAGCGACATTTCTGTCTCCGTAGGAGGAGGAGGAGATGGCGGAGGAGGAGCAGCAGCAGGGTTACCCAGTGCATCTGCAGACGTTCTCTTCCTCCAGTTTTCCTCCTCCTCCTCCTCATCAGAACCCCATACGTATCTCCCCTCCGCCACGTCATTCCAGTGAACGCATCCCATCAATGGAGAGCCGTCGTCGTCGTAGAAGATGAACGGACCTTTCTCCTCCTCGTCCTCCCCACCTTCCTCCTCTCCCCTGCCTGCCATCCTCCTCCTCCTCCTCTTCTCCTCGTCGATCGCATCTTGCAGCTCATACACAGCGCTGGCATAATCCTGCACAAAGCGTCAACAGGTCCCATCGTCCTCGTGCCTCTTGTTACCTCCAGCGGGATGGGATCAGGAGCCTCGAAAGGGCTGTTGGTTGAGTTTGCATCCCAGAAGTCTCGCAGGAGGATGTCGGTTTCGTAAACCTTGCCGATCTTCGTGTACGTCCCATTGTAGGATGGTTTTGGTCTGAAATCTCCTCCTCCTCCTCCTCCTCCTCCTCCTCCTCCTTCAGATGAGTTCTCTCCTTTGCCTACCGATTCTCCTCCCTCCCCTCCAAGACACCTTGCTCCCACTCCTTCTCCTCCTTCCATCCCATCCGAGCCCTCGCGGAGATCTCTGACGCCGCCTCCTCCTCCCTCTCCTCCTCCCTCTCCTCCTCCCTCCCCTTCTTCTTCCGTGTCGACCTCCCACATCTTCTCCTCGGGCAGTAGCGTCTCTTCATGCCCGATGTTGAGGAAGGGAAACAGCTCCAGCGTCGGGATATGCTCGCACATCTGCCTCACCAGCCGCGCCATCGGTTTCATTGCAGGGAACTTTGAATCTCGACTCAGCACCTGTTCCACCGCCTGCCGTACGTTGGACAGTCGCAGCTTCCTCCCCAACGACGCCATGGACAGGTACGCCCTCTTGGCAACCCTTGCTTCCTCCTCTGTGAAGTTGTATGCTCGCTGCAGGAGCTCCTTCAAGGACTTGGTTCTCAGCTGATCTGTCCCCGGCTCCATCCTTGTCAATAACTTCTCCGTCCATGTCGGGCACGATTTTTCCCTCGCCATCTCCCGCCATCGCTCCACCTCCTTCACCTCCTCCTCGTCTTCGTCCCTGACAAACAGGTCCTCCAACGTGAGGTTCTCAGAGGTGAAAGCCGTCAGGTTCTGCAGCACGTCCATCCTGATCGAGCTGAACCATCTTGTGCCGTTGTCGCCCTCTACCTCCACGTCAGCACTCCACAGCCTCCCCTGCACTTCAGAGTCGTTGAGTTCCCTTAGCAACTGAACGTAGGAGGGGACTCGAAAGTTGTCGGCGTATGGGCCGAAGGTATCAAGGAAAGTCGCCTCCTGCTTCAGGCGGATGTAGTCTTGGAAGGAACGAGCGGTTGGCTCCGGCTCCTCCTCCTCCGGAGGGGCCGAGGCAGAGGTGTCGGAGAGCTCGGAGAACGTTTTATCGACCTGCTCCTGGCTGTGGAGGTCTGTTCCAAAGCCGAACAGAGATGCAGAGAGCTGAAAACTTTCACCTTTGGGCTTCCGTTCCCTCTTGATCTGATGTTCATCATCATCAATTCCATCGTCATCATTATCATCATCATCGTCATCATCATCATCATCATCATCGTCGTCATCTCAATCGTCATCATTATCATCGTCGTCATCCTCATCATCATCGTCATCGTCATCGTCATCGTCATCGTCATCGTCATCGTTATCGTCATCGTCATCGTCATCATTATCATCGTCGTCATCGTCATCGTCATCGTCATCGTCATCGTCATCGTCATCGTCATCGTCATCATCATCATCATCATCATCATTATCGTCATCGTCATCATCATCATGCTTCACCTCATTTGGGCGATACCAAGCTTCTTCCTGGGTGTCAAGACGGACACGAAAAGGTCTGATAGAAAGATCCTTATCGATCACTTCCCCTGCTCCATCTATCGTCATCACTCGATCGCCAATCTTCCACTTGCGCAGAGTCTTGACCCTGCGCATGTTCTTTTGTTAGCCCGTGAATCTCTCCCCTCCTCTCCCCGTCAACCTCCAACACCACTGACTCCTTCTCCTCCTCCTGCCCCCTACCTCTCCTCTTCTTCCCGATCCTCCTCTTCCCCTTCCCTCTCCCCTCCCAGCCCCCCCCCCCCCGCCACTTCCTCCCGATGCTTTTCCATTTGCTCTCCCTCCAGCTCACTTCTTCTCATATTGTTTGCATTCGACTCCGTCACATCCAACAAACTTGCAAGGGACCTGAACAAGCATAAGAACTAGCAATGCCACTGCTCGCGTCTCAACCTCCCACTTGTTGTAGTGCGGCACCAGCCAGCCATCGTCGTACACATTCGCCTCGCTCTCCTGCTTCGATGCAGATGCATGCGAGCTCGACGTCCTTCTGGACCTGTACTGCCTTGACGAGCCTGTCCTACTTGACATCGAGCTCTCCTGCGAGGCAAGAGACCGCGAAGGAGTTCTCCTCCTCCTCCCACTCCCACTCCTTGACGAGCGCTGCGACGGTGGCGCTGCCTTCAACCTTGAAGTGGAGGAGGAGGAGGAAAGCGGCGACTCGGTCGAGTGCTTCGCAGCCTCCATGCTCGACAAAGTTCCAACGCTCGACGACAGTTCAATGTCAAGGTCCATCGAATCTTGAGCCTGCCAACAACAACAGGATCTCCATGAGCAGCGGCAGTCAGCACTGGAAAGATCATTTACGGATGCGAGGCTATCCTCAGCCTTCTCGACGCTGCTCCTCCTCGAACGGCCCTTTCTACTCCTCCTGCATCCCAGACACAGTCAACTGCCGAGTTTCAGAGCAAGGATGAGTTGAGACCGAAGGTTCTGCTCGTGGGGGAGGGAGCTGCGGGACGAGGATCGCATGCTGTTGGAACCTGAACCAAGTGACAGGTCAGCCGACAGCACGACCTCAACGTGAGAAAGGCGAGACCGCGCCGTCCTGTCGACGTCGAGGACAGTTGCTGCAGGCGCTTCTCTAGTGGAGTGTAGAGGAAGTAGCTCGACTTGTTGTGAACGGTGGGTGACCGCTCTTCAAAGGTGACGATCCTCGACCGTGTGGCCCGCGCTCTGGCATCACTTGTGTCATGCCACCCGCAGCGTCCATGCATCACGTTCAACATCGAGTGTTCACCTCTGTTGTGCGGGAGTCTTGACAGCACATTGTCCTTGCTCGTTGTCGACCTCCATTAGGCTATCAGGGGGTCGACGGCCCTTGCTCCTCGTGTTCTGCGACGGTGTGCTGTGAAGTTCTGAGACACTTGCTTGCTGCCTGCTGTCATAGGAGGTGAGATCTAGGTCTCCGCCCTGCCCCGAGGACACGGCTTCAGCTACCCCGCCTTGTGAAAGAAGTCAGAGAGCGAGAAGAAGAGGACGAAAGAAGGAGAAGATAAGGATGTGGACAAGCGAAGAAGAGAGGAAGAAGAAGAGATGTGAAGAGAGGGGAAGAGGAACAGAGGAAGGTGGAGAGAAAGGGAGGAGGAGGAAGATGAAGAGACGGGGAGAGGGAAAGAGGAGGACTATATGCTCTCATCACCTCTGCTAGACTTCCTTCCCCTACCGTATCCTCGACCTGACGACGAACCTCTTGTTCCTCCTCTCAGCTGCAGGACCAGCGGAGGAGGAAGCAGCATGCCACAGACAGATATCTCCTGGTGTCTCTTCGCTCCCATCCTCCCGTTCAGAGTCTCGATGGCTCCCGAGCTTACCATGGCGCCGGAGGTCGCCCCGACGAGCAAGAGAGCAACAAGGACATGGACCATGAAACATGAACTCAATGAAGAAATTCACTTCACTTGTACCCATTCAACCATACAATCACACTGAGAAAGCTTAGCTCGATATCATGGACATGGAATACCCCCAGGCAACCTCGGCTGTCAGAATGACGAAGGAAAACACCCCATGGCGCGAGGTTGTGTCTGTCATAGAGCAAGGACAATGCTCTCTCGCAGGAACATGAGGATTACTGCCATGGATAAGAAGAGGAGGAGGACGCACAGGAAGCCGAACGCCATTGCCTGCAGTCCTCCTTCCCGCCCTGGCATTCCAGCACCATGAAATCCCCCGATGCGGCCACAGCTTTGCAACTTTGCAACGTTGCAACTTTGCAACTTTGCAACTTTGCAACTTTGCAACTTTGTGAGTAAAGTTTGAAAAATAACAATAAAAACTGGACTCGGGAGGCCCTCAGCCGTACGGTAAAAGCCTGACTGAACCCCTGTCACGTCCGATCTCAGTCTTTGTCACTGTTTCCAGAGGCCCTGAGGGGTGGGAGTAGTTCTTGCAGAAACTTCCGTTTGCGCAGTGCGGCACTCCCCGGGCCCGGTTCAACACTTGAAGCGGCCATAGCGTTGTCGCTCTCAACTGACCCCTCTGGTTTCCAATAGTTTTCTGTGGGGGTATCCTTCCACATATGTGAATAGCAAATGGCAGTTGGGGTCTGGAGTGGGTCAGACGGCTGGGAGCTGATTCAAATTGGTTGGGACCTGTTTAAGGGGGTAGGGTACTTCCTGGTAGCAAATAATTGTACCAACAGTACCAATTTTATGGTACATATTCGAGTACTGTTAGGAAAACTTGTACCAAAATAGTTGATGCGGTACCTCCCCTGTTCAAACTATGATGCTTTGGACCCACCTGTTTCCCAGTGAAAGTGCCTTCTCCGATGGGGTCAAGTTTTGGACCCTACCCTGCCTCCGACCAACATAGACCACCCTTGTAGATCAGAGGGAGCTCTCAAGCCTTGCCCCTTCCCTTCCCTGGTTGCATATCCAAGGTTAGCAAGTGAATGTTACGCAGACGTGACTCATCTGCATCAGGAGAGCTCAGACGAGGACAAGCAGAGGCAATCCCTGCAGAATCTGGGCCGGGTGTGAGCGCAGCAGTCTGAAAACATCTCTGTGATTGCAAACACATGTAAAGAGGGTTGATCATCATAGATTCAAGTTTAGCAGCTTGAATAAGGAGTACTCCGCACGGACCGTCCGCTAGTGGCGCTGTACGATGGATGACATTGACTCTCATGAGCAATAAGTAGGAAGTCATGAAGCAAGCATGATCTGTACTTATTTTATAGGAATCTGCTGCAAAGAGTCGGGCTTGAGGGCGGTCTGAGCAATATGCAAGAGTATTGCCAAGGCATGTAAAGAGTTTCAAGGAATACCAGTGCATTCATCAAATGGCAGTGATGAGGTACCACATGAAGGCATGACTTGCAAATTGATTGCATGTCGTGTTCCATTTGATGACTTACAATCAAGACGCTTTTGAGCGACAAAACGATACCCCTTATAGAATTGTAAAACATATTTCATTTCCTTCACCTCGAGTCGAAGCAAGAAATTTTCAAGGTGCTGATATCTTTGTTTTGACTAGACTGACATGGTATCAGGAGCAGTTGATTGATGTTGGATCCGATTGAATCATGCAGACGAAAATGGACATACCCTTTTGAATAAATCTTTCTTCTCATACCAGAGCTTTCTTGCCTCTTTCTTTGTAACCTAACATGTACAAAGCATTGGCATTTTCTTACACAAAGTAAACTGAGCCTGACCAGCTTCTCTTATTCGCTGCATTCTTGCCCTTCCATCATTCTGATCTTTTCCTCGCTTGACATCCTTGGGCCAACGCGAGTTGCATGCTGCGATATCATCAATTGTTTGGAACCAAGCGATAAGTGGAACAAAGCGCTCAGGTGCTATGCAGGCTGCAATACATCGCCGGCATTCCAACCATATGGATAAGTTTGCCAACTTTGCGCTGCTCATATTACTTGCAGCGAAAGTCAACCATTCCAGATGATAAGGACAAGGTATGAGACTTGCGCAGAAGAATGTGCAAACACTTCCACACGACGGTGAGTGTGCACGATTCCACATACACAAGAATGCTGCGCAGAAGTATCTACCAATTTCTTGTCTAACCACTCTTTTGATGAACGAGCATCGACTTCTCTAACATGTACATCAGGTCATGCAGGCTCATGGAGAAATGATGATGTTGTTAGCAACAACTTGGCTTTGTTTTATTGAAGTACGTTGAAAACATCACCTAGGCCGCTACATATTCCCATTTCCGCTTTGCAACAGTTCTAAACCACGTATCACCATAAAGTTGTACATCATTCGACTAGTCCGATAACATCTTCATGTAGAGTCTCAGTTTCAAGCACAACGCGGTTTGGAGCGATACTGTGACTTGTTTGCCTGGTATGATTACATGTGACATGCTCTCTTACACAATTGAAGAGTATTGTAGAAAATTCAATCAAGCGGTGCACAGTTCAGCCTTTCTTTCTTACTATTCATGAAACATAGTGTATCAACCAGATGTCATCGTGTGGATCGACGCAAAATAAAGATGAACTCGAAGTTCTGTCTGAAAAATGACCCTTTGCAAGTACTGATGGATCGAGAGCAAGTTCTTGATGCTGTATCATTGAGAAGTAAAATGACAGTCATTTGCCAGTGCTATACGACTCGTATCCATCAGCTTGATATATGCACACCTGGGTTTCATTCCATGAATCATCTTTCCTCCCGCATTCAAACTGAGAAACTCAGTGCTTGTCAACTCATGGGCATGGTTTCAGAGTTTGAATTTCCAGCAAGTTGAGGAAGGACAAGGCAGACAGAGGCGTCAAAGAAAGTTGAGGGTCATCAGGGAAGGTCTGACGAGAGTCTGAGACTCATGGACAGGGAAGGATAGGGATGCGCAAGTGTGGAGGGCAGGGAGATGGGGAGGGAGACACCTCTGCTAAATGTATTTTAAAAGGTACCCATTACAGTACCAGACCAAGACCTGTACCCCCCACCCCCCTGTCGCGTCCGTTGGGTTCGAATCATTTGAAATATTACCACGCCTACCCATCAGGTTCTGGTACAAATCATTACTCCACTATACAAGGCCCTAAGTGATCCTATGCAAAGGCAATAGGAACAACTGTTTACTTATCTAAGCTCTCAATTACCCCCGGTTGCCGTTGAACTTGCAGCGCTGGAAATGGATTTTCCAACCTTCCAATCCTTGGATTTTTTACTCACACACAATTTTGTACTGGAAAACGCCTGGATCTGGTTCATTATTGTCCTCGTACTGATTTTTAACTTAACTTTGAGTGAAGATGGTACAAATCCCAATTGTCAGCAAGTTCCTTGACCCGACAACGCTATGGCCCCGCCGGGCCCGGGCCCCGCCGGCAGCCGGGCTTCCTTCAAGGCTTCGGAAGTTCGCGGCCGCCCCTGCCAGTGAGGGCCCGGGCCGGCGCGGCCGGCACTGAGCCGCACTGCGGCCTCGGGCGCAAGGCCCTGGCTGTCTGGGTCAAGACTGATCATGTGCGCGGTGGCAGCGGCCCGCACTGCGGCAGACTCGGAGAAGCGAGACTCTGAGAGCTGACACAGGGCCGGGGGCTCGTATAGTACGGTCGTTTCCGAAGTTCTGAGTGACGGGGTCGACCGTTCGCCGGTCCGGCCAGGCTGCAGTGGCTGGGGGCCCGGACACTCAGGCGCGGCGCGGCCGCTGGCCCGGTCCGATGGTCGGTGCCGGGATCGGTGACCGTAGGCTAGGCTATGCCATAGTATGCCACGCGGCGCCGTGACGGCCCAGTATCATTGGGCCGGGAGAGATCATCATCGGATGATCCGATGATCGGATCACCGGCCCGGACTCCGATGATTCATGATGCTGCGGGCTTGGCTCGCATACGCCGGCCCGGGCGGCCCGGCCCGGGTCCCGGGCCCCGGGCCGACCCACTGCCAGCTCTGAGTTTCGCTCCTTCTTTCTGCCACACTGATGTGCGGCACTAGGCTACTCTGATCGACGTCTCAGAAGCTGTGAGTGCCCGCGGCCGGGCGCCGGGCCGGCCTGGACGATTCTCAGTTCCGGCCGCAACTGCGGCAAATCGGACATCCGGGCCCGTGCCGGGCGGCTCCGACTCATCCAACCTTCTTTACTCAACAGTAGGTAGCTTGACACCCCTAGCTTTCCCCTCAAACAGCCATGACCCCTCCTGGGATTTTACCACCACCCACCTTACCGTATGTGCTTACTGGTCTCACGACAGTACCGCTCAGGTCACACAACAGGGGGTGGTTGTATCACCGGTGTGTATCAGAAATCGTCTTTCACCCATCGATCTACTATGAAATACAGGGGTACATTTGAGGACAATTGTGAACGGAGCTCGATTAGGGTGGGTGGTCTAAATCGGGAATCCCGGAAATAGAACGAGCTCAATATAAGACGAGATCAAGCAACATTCACGCACTAGGAAGGTGAGACGAAAATGTCATTGAAGCTAATATGTGTGGATCTTATTATGATGGTCAAGAGATGATGAAGGGAAGAAGAGATGGTGGAGCGATGAAGTGAACCTTCTTCGTCTTACCTTCTCTTCCCCATGCATCAGGGGAGTGTAGTTGGGGTGAGGGTAGATAGATGGAGATGTGGTTGTGTTGTGGAATCAAGTGTTGAATGTTTGTTGACTCCTTCTCTCTAGATGTTCCAGACTCTCTACGGCCAGACCGCTGCTGCCCTCTACGCCAAGGCCGCCGGCCAGAACGCCCAGGCCCGCCAGCTCTACAACGCCTCCGCTGACACCTACTACAAGGCCAACGATGCTGCTGCCTACGATGACTGGGTCCGCGCCCGCAACCACTGGGACTACTTCTACAACCGCTCGTAAATTCGGTTGTATGTAGCATGTTGAGATTAGTGTAACTGTCGCATTAAAGAAATAAAATACTATTCATTCCAATGCCCCAAAGTGTATCGATTGGATGCAACGAAGACCCAATATTCAACGATGCATGGAACAGATAAGGTTGATCGAGAGTGCTTTATGGTAACAAGATGTGTCGCAACATCAAAACAAGCAGTATGTCTGACATTTCAACATGCTGCCAACCCTACGCCCTGAACGGGGTTGGCTCGAACTGAGTGATAACAAGGACAGTGCATTGTCAATTTTGCGAGACAATCGAGCAGAGATCTCTCCCATGAATTCATGCCGTTGACATGGAGTCCCAACACAATTTGAGCGGATGAGCAGCTGGGATGATGCTCATGACACCTCAGATGGAGAAAGTGAACATGGCTTGATATGAACGTGAGCAAAGTAAGAACAAACAATTGAGTCAACCTCTTTTCCCTCCTTAATCTCCCTCTCTCTCTCCTTTATTTGCCTTCCATCATCATGAAATTTGCGACAATGATCACGGGAAACTGTTACAACCATAGCGACGGGAAGAAAGAATCGATGATTCGATGAAGCACAAAATCTCTGGAAAAGTTCTTTTTCGGATCTTCAAATTTGGGATGAACGCTCCACTTATCATGCGTTCAAAGCATCACAATTATGATCAACGACTATGATTCACTCGACAACACAAGTGTGAATGGAGCCGAGAAGATCAAAGATCGCGCTTGAGGAGTCGTGATGATGTATGTAACTCTGTATAATCAATACCCTTAAAGTGATGAAGACGAGCATTGGGGAGCAGAAAGACTGACAGTCAAGTTCAACCATTCTCTGCATTTTCATCTACCCTACTCTTCTCCAACCTGTCGCAATCCTCTTTCAGAGCTCTGCGAAGGTGAGCTCAAGCCTCGGCAGGAAGCAATCTTATTGAGCAGGAGTACCCTGGACTACAAAGGATCGTCAACTGCTGCTAAGGTGGTCTGTCTTTGCTGTGTGCGCCACGAACCATTGCTGTGTTTGTGTTGCTTCTCAGATAAACTCCTTACCTCTACTTTTCACCTTTGTGTTTGTGTTACTTCTCAAATAAACTCCTTACCTCTACTTTTCACCTTTATGTGTGATCCAGCGGAGGTTGAGCATTCACTGTAGACGTCTGCAACCCGTAAAGCTTCGGGGTGTGACACCAACTGACTCCAATAACTTCATAACCACGTCGCACAGCTCTAAAGCCTCTTCACTCACTATTAATCACTCACTTCCTCCCTACCCATCCCTCCCTCTTGTCCTCCCAGTCGTGTTGCCTGCCTCTTTACCTCATTTTCGTCACTCCCTCGAGTAATACTTTTGTGTGCTCATTCAAATTTCTCTTACTCTCCCTCTTTCACGCTTTCTCCCTTTGTCCCTATCCCTGTTTTCTGTTTCTCCCACCCTCCTTCTCTTCCTCCCTCTCCCCCTCGCCCTGGTTCCCTGCCCTGAACTCTCCCTCTCCCTCTCCCTCTCCTTCTCCTTCTCCCTCCTTTCATCTTCCTCTCTCTCCCTCTCATTCTTCTACCTTTCGCACCTTCAGCAAGCATACAAACTACAAACCATTTGATAAGAAGTTGTACATTTGACTTCTTTTTTCGTGCCGGCACCACCCCCCTTTGAATTCTAGCTACCCCTTTCAAGTACTATGAAGTACCCCTCCTTTCAATAGATTACAGTACCCCCACGGGAATGTATTTGACATGGGGGGTGGATATACTTCAAGTACCCTTCTTATCGTGCCTCTTATAAGGGCCGTGGGGGGGTAGGGGTATTTCGTGATCGTTCACTCTTTGGTACCAGAATGGTTGAGGCGCCGGAATGAAGAGGACAGTGGAGAGGAGGGGAGAGCAGAAGACGAAGACGAGGACGAGGACGAGGAGGACGAGGAGGACGAGGAGGACGAGGAGGACGAGGAGGACGAGGAGGACGAGGAGGACGAGGAGGACGAGGACGAGGACGAGGACGAGGACGAGGACAGGAGGAGGAGGAGGAGGACGAGGACGAGGAGGAGGGAGTAAAGTACGAGGAGGAACTGGGGGAGACGAGGGGAGGAGAAGGCCGGCAAGCCTGAACTTAGGGAGAGTGAGGAAGAGGAGAGAGGACAGGAGAGACAGATTGGGGAAAGGCTGATAAACACGAAAGAGCTATGATCATCTGAACCTTGAAGTCACTGCTCTTGCTGATGTTTGGTGTGCAGATTGGCTGTCTTCTGCATCAGACTGAATGCTTTCTATCAGATTCCTCATGATGTGTTTCAGGAGACATGACTGATGAGAAGGACAAGCTCGTTTGAGTGAGAAGTTATTGCTGTTGGGCTTGTGCGGATGTGACGAAGAGACTGGAGGAAGCCTGGAAGATTGAGTTGACAGCGATCGAACCATAAAAAGTCATACAGCAGCAACATGCGTCGGAAGAAAATTTCAAGGCCTGCGAGCGAGATGGGGTACCGCAGTTTGAGCAAGAGTTCAATGTGGAGGCGACAGCTGGAAGAAGGGGAGGACGTCTACATGCGGGTACGAACGACCCCAAGGGAGCGGAGCATCGAAGAGCTGCTGGCCTTCTCCGTCGAATCCAAAGAGGAGGATGTAGACTGGTGCTGCGCGGGCCAAAGAGCTTCCTCCTGCTGTGAGAGGAGACAGACGGCGGAGGATCCGAATGAGCAGCGCAGCCGCGAGGCCGTTCGTGCTCTGTACACTGCGACGTTCCCCTCCCTCAAGGACAAAGAGCTGCATGAAGTGATCCCCCAGCACTTCAAGGCTGAACGATGCTCAAGCTCGGCCAGCTCTCTGAGCACGTGGAGAGAGCTCAGCGGGAGGTCAAGCCCGTCAACCAAGTCCCGATCGCCGAGCAGGTTCCACGAGAGGCTGTCGCCCTCAGGTACAAGTTTGACACGATGTGTTGGCTCCTAGAGGAGGCCAGGGATGACGATGCTGTGCTGCTGCAGATGATGACAACAGCGTTGAGGATGAGAACTCCGGGGAGCTGCCGGACCTGCTCGTTGATCGGTCCTCGTCCTCTCACAAGCTCTCCAAGTCCAAGCACGAGCAAGTTACGAAAATGCGGAAAGAGCACCAGATAAGGAGAATCCAAATGCAGGAGATGAAGAATCAAGTGATTTGATTTCAATCTTCTCTGTCCTTCCTCCCTCTTCCCTCTCCCTCGCTCTCTATCCTTCCCTCCCTCCCTCCCTCCCTCCCTCCCTCCCTCCCTCCCTCCCTCCCTCCCTCCTTCCCTCTTCAGTGCTGTTCACTGGTACCTATTCCTCATCCTTTGTCCGTCCTCCTTCGTTTCTCCTCCTCTTAGGTCCTCCTTCATAGACCAGAAGCCCCCCCCCCCCTCATCCCTTCACCTCTCTCTCTCTCCTCCTCCTCTCGCCTCCCTTGCGTGAAGTCGACTTACACGTCGCTCACGCAGATCACCGCTGCCAAGATGCAGCAGGCCAAGGAGGAGCGAAGCCAGAGGCTGAGAATGGCGCGGGAGAGGAAAGAGGAGGACCTCAGGAGGAAGAGGGAAGCGGCGATGCGGGTCATCAAGGAGAAGAAGGGGAGTCACAACAGGACGAGGGAGGAGGAGAAGGGCTGGGCTCAAGAGCTCTCCTCCTCCTCCTCCCCCGATTACTCCATCCAGGTTGCCGACACCAACGTCCAGTACCAGTCCGACCTGCCGTTCGCTGCCTTGATCGCCCCGTCTTCATGCAAGCCTGAGCGGCCGGGGAGGGTAGAGGAAGACGACCTGTCGATGCAGATATCTTTGTCTCTGAGATCGCTCAAGTTCCTTCAGCTCAATGAAGGAGGAGGAGGAGGAGGAGGAGGAGGAGGAGGAGGAGGAGGAGGAGGAGGAGGAGGAGGAGGCTACAAGAGGCCTTACACGACTGTCTCAACTGGCAGGATTCGACCGACTTTTGTAGTGACCAACTTACGGGGCTCATCTCCGAGGTACCTCACAGACGATTCACCGGAAGTGGTTGAGAGTGTTTGCGGCGTGAGCATGCGTTGAGGGGAGAAGGCAGGCGAGGAGGAGGCAAGAAGAGACGAAAGAAGGGGAGAGAAGGGGGGGGGGGTGGAGAAGAGGTCCGAAATGGAGGCAGCGCAGGCCGAGGTTCGTGAGTGAGTGAGTGAGTGATAAGGGAGGCAATTCGCAAGAGAGAACAGAGTTTGTTTTTCTTCCATTCTCTCATCCCACACTTTGTCTGCCTGTATCTCTAATATCTTACATGTAATCTGAGTCTAAAAACAATAAACACGTTCTACTACAACATCCCGTCTCATCTCATCAGCTGTCGGCCCTTAGCCATGGCGTATCCCGTCACCAGCTTGTAAGCACCTTGCGCTGCTTTCCCGTACAGCCCCTCCTCCTCTGTGTATATGTTGGCGTTGTGCTGGAACGCGCTCCTCGCCTCCTCCACAATCCTCTTCTCCACCTCCTCGCTCGCCACCTCCTCCGCCGCCTCGTTGATGGCTACATAGAGCCGCTCGATGTATGCCCTCCTGTCCTGCTCCACCGTACGATCCCACTGGTAGAAGAGAGGAGGGCTCTGCTTCAGCTCTTGCACCGCGTACTTGGTCGGCGCCCCTAGCGCCCTTCCTCCGAAAAGATCCGCGAAGTACCTCACGTACATATGCGCGATTATCCTCACTCCCTGCTCTTCCTCCCCCGCCCTGCGGATCGATGCGCAGTATGCTGTCGTGGCAGGGCTCATCGGAACAAGAGTAGGATCCGAGCTTGCACCCACGTTTCGCAGATCCTCCCTCAGCCTCTCCGCCCTGCGCAGCTCAGGGAACTTTCTCCACAGCCTGCCGACGACTGCCCCTTCCTCCGCCTTCCTGTCGAGCTCTCGCTCCATCTCCCGGTAGAAGTGGAAGGAGCAGGAGGTGAAGTGAACGTACTCATCCTTGCTCGCGATGCTCCTCAGGAAACCCAGCCCGAACACCTTCATATCGTGGACCCCCTCCCGCAGCAGCAGGTCCAGCTTTCTCGACAGCCCTCGCTTGTTCGCCGAGCTGTCTAGCAGAGTCTTGTAGCTCTCGCTCTTGGGCAGGATCGCCTGGCACGACCTCAGCACCTGGTTCAACGTCTGCCTGCTCATCTCGACGGGTGTGGCTGCCTGCGAGGAGAACAGTAAGACAGGGCGAGGAACCCGTTGACATTCCGTGAGGAGAACGCTGTGATTCTACAAACTACTTCAACGACGATGTTCAGGTGGTATCATGATACTAGGGCGATAGGACTAACCCTCCCTCCCTCACTCACTCACTCACTCCCTCCCTCCCTCCCTGCCTCAGTCAGTCTGCTGCCTCCTCAGGTTCCTCAAGTTTCTCTGCTTTCATTTTTCCACTCATGTTCAGCCTGTTGCATTCCAGCTCCCCTCTCCTTCCACTTCCCTCAGTCTCTCCTCCCTCTACTCCATGTCATCCTCCCTCCCTCCTCCCTCTGTCCTCTCTTCGTCGCTTCCTTCCCCTCCTCATTACCACTCATCTTTCTCCCTCGCTCGCTCGCTCCCTCGCTCGCTCCCTCCCTCGCTCCCTCGCTCCCTCGCTCCCTCCCTCGCTCCCTCCCTCGCTCCCTCCCTCGCTCCCTCCCTCGCTCCCTCCCTCGCTCCCTCCCTCGCTCCCTCCCTCCCTCGCTCCCTCCATCCCCTCGCTCCCTCTTGTCTTCCGAACTCTTTATGTGTCGCACAAACTTCGATGCTTTGAGAAACACATCTTTCATCCCAGGTGGGTGGTACTACCCTACCTCCATATTATCGATTAAAGAGTACTAGAACAGCAGGGTGATGAATACTACCCCACCCTTATTCTGAATTTTGTTGACATCCCTAAAGGGGGGTAGGGTAATGGTTACAGTTTTCTCTCCACCCCTTTGAAGCACAAAATATGGGATCAATTGAAAGGGTAGGTGGTACTACCCTACCCCCTAAATTCAAGAGGATCGTAAAGTAAGCGGAGTGTTGCAACAATGCAGCGATACGGCCAGAAAATAATCCTGGCGGCTGCGATGGCGGCGTCTTCATGCTGGATCGCTAACGCATTCCATGTTCTCCCCTCTTCTCCTATCCTTCGCTCCTCCTCCCTCGACCCATCCTTCTCCTCTCTCTCCCGCGCTGCATCCCAACTATCTTGCTCGACCCGTTGCAACCTCGCAGTTGCTGGCAGAGCCTTGACAGGAAGACTGCCTCCTTTGCGGAAAGCGATGCCATCGACAAAGTTGACGATGGCACATTTCACGTCGGATGCCAGCCGATCGAACGCGGGTTTAATGGTGAGTGAAGCAATATTTGCGAGGTGCAAGAACGCACGATGCAGTAAATGCTGGGGCAGCTGCGATCTGTCTGTTTCTTGCGCTCGTATTGAAATGCTCTTTTGTCTTTCCCATTGCGATGTTATGATGCACATGTTTGTTCTGGCTGCTCAATGTGTCTGTGACTTGACAGCGAGGGAACATGCATTCTTTGAGTGTTCATCGACATACATTCTTCAGTGAAAGCAAGTTGAAGGAATGACTTGTGTCTTGACATCATGTATGTTGAATTGACGTAACTTAATACTTCTTGACCTGATATCAAGATTGTGCCAAAGATGCTTTTCATTGTCCGTTGTCTAGATCGGCAACCAGTTTACGATTGGTTGGTTGGCAGAGATGTAGATTCAGTGTGATTGGTCTCCTGAGACATGGGATGGGGATTGATATTGCTATGGTTTCGGATGTCATCCTTTCACATCTTTGTCATCCATGCTATTGATGTTGTCGATGAAAAACAGAGAAATTTTTGGGATCCAACCTCTGAATGTCTTCAAGAAAAGTGCAACTCATATCCATCACCTAGAATTCTTCCACAGCATCTTGACTCTGCCTGCAGGCATTGAAGGATATTCTGGCGGGACTTCCAGTGACTGCAGGATACACCAGTTGGCAAGAGTTGTTCAGCAAGTTCGACATCGACAAGTCAGGATACCTCGACGGCCACGAGTTGAAGAGCGCGCTGCGATCCTTGGGAGGGAGCGTTTCCGATGAGAGGGTGAGTGAGGAGTGATAGAGCTGGTTGCACAAGCTGATTTTCATCTCACAGTTTGACTACATCTTCAACTCGTTAGACTCAGACGGAGACGGTGTTGTCTCATGGTTGGAGTTCGAATCCATGCTTGAACTAATCGAGTACGTGTTGAATGCAGGATATCAACCATATATTAACTGTGAATTTTCAGGATGCAGATGGAAGAAGATTTGCGGAACAATGATGTAATGCTAGATGAAACATTCTGATTAAACATTGCTGTAGATATGAAAAGAGTGACATTGCAACCACTCCAACAACATCCATCCAATGATAACAAGTTGTATCAGCACGCAAATTAAGTTTTTCTCATTTTATTGATGTTGAAATCTAGGATTTACGAGCGGTTGTAGAAGTAGTCCCAGTGGTTGCGGGCGCGGACCCAGTCGTCGTAGGCAGCAGCATCGTTGGCCTTGTAGTAGGTGTCAGCGGAGGCGTTGTAGAGCTGGCGGGCCTGGGCGTTCTGGCCGGCGGCCTTGGCGTAGAGGGCAGCAGCGGTCTGGCCGTAGAGGGTCTGGAACATCTGCCAAACATCATCAGTAAACTACTACTTTCAACTTATCCAACACTAAACAAACATCATCAGAATGGGCTGAATTGCTCTGTTACATCAAGACGCGGTATTCAAAGAAAGGGAGCATCGAGAGAGAATCGCACGGCTTTGATTGTGCATAGGGAGGGGAAGAAAGCTCAACATCGCGGCAGCCGGTTTGCATATCACGCCATGCCATATCGTATCACCTTGATACCGATCCCTTCCACCGACGCTGCTTCTATACCCTCTGCTCTATTTCCGACAATACCCTACCCCCCTCGATAACATTGATCAAATACCCCACCCTACAATAGAATTCAAAACCCATGATTAACCCCTCATTATTATGAAATTATCCTCGAATATCCATGGTGGGGTGATAACCCCTACCCGATATTTTCCAATGCTAGACCACCCACTATTGTACATGCCTTCACTCCTGGGTCCTATTTCCGCTTCCACGTTCACCCCTACCCTCGATTTCGCATCGAGTTCTACCGACAAGGTGGTAGGGTAGGGGTCATGGACCCTTCCACCCCTCCGTTGCTGGAGTGAGAGAAGGAATTATTTGAAACGAACTTTTGAAATAATCTCTGAAATAAGGAATATTAATGACACAATTTGAAACTTCAAAAATGAACCTCGAAACCAACATCCCATCATTTCCCTGAGGCGGCGCTCTGCAGCCCCGCCTCTGAGGCTGGCGTGATTTTGTGCGACAGTGGTAGTTACGTTTACTCAAAGTTAAGTTAAAAATCAGTCACTAGTAGTCAACCGCGGCCGCGCGGCGGGCCGACTCAGTCGTCCAGTGCCAGCCGGGCCCGGCTGACCGGGTCACCGGGGCTGCCAAGCCCGGCTCCGACCGGCCTCAGCTCAACTTGGCTTTGAGCAAAGTTGACTCGTGACGCAGCGAGGCTAACGGTGCGGCCCGGCGGGCGGGCCCGGCCGGGCAGTGACCGTCTCACGGGCCCGGCCGCCCGCCGTCCCCGCGAGCCTGAGCCCGGCCGGCGGGGACTCGGAGCGGGCCGCGGCAGTCACGCCGTCCTAGTAGCGGTGGCAGCCTGGCGGGGCCGGAGTCACGGGCCGTGTTACGGTAGTACCGTAGTACCGGCGTCCGAGCCTCGGACGGACTCGCCGCCCCGGCGACCGGCCCCGGGCCCCGAGACGCCGGGTCCGGCCGGGCCGGGCGGCGGCCGGCGGCCGATCAGAAGCTATTTTGGAGCCAAGGGAAAATCGTTGCTGGTTTATAGAATCCATGTTGGACTCTATTTGTTTTCTCGACAACAGAAACTCACGAATTAGGTGGGGTTGAGCGGGGAAGGGGCAGATCGGGAGATGGCCATGCAGGCTGTGCTGCTTGGCACGCTGAGCATGGCTGCGATTCCTGCAGCCTTCGCGTTCCATGCAGTGGAGGCTCCGATGCGGGGACTTAAGCTCAACGAGGGAAGCTACATCACCGGTCAGAGGATGGGGAACTATCCTAGCCTGTCACAGAGAAAGCAGAAGACGTCGTTGCTCCGCCGAATGATGATGCTTGAAGGCAGAGTCTCGGTGACGCTGAAGAGAAACATGGGTGGAACATTCTTCTTCGCAGGAGAATACATGAACGATGAAAGGGAGAAGCCGAGGACATGGCTATTCCAAAGAACGTGGAAGGACTTCTCGGAGCTAGACTCGTATGTCAGACCTAGGTTTGGCAGCAAGATGGACCCGCTCCCTCCTGAGCCCTACATCTTCGGGGAGGAAGCGAACCCAGGTCCTTTCCAGAGTTACATCAAGAAGATCATCGCAATCGAGGATGCCTTTGGAATTCCAGAGGTCTACGAGTTTTGTGAAGCCCCAGCCGACGTCGTGACAGCAGCGTACCCCGATCGAGTTCCGATTGACGTCGACGTGGTGAAAGGGAAGAGGCGCTACCAGGCTGACGATAGGTTCAGCGTCCCTGTAATGGATCCCGTGATGATAGCAGCTCAAGCAGGGAAGAATGCGCGCGTGGTGAAGGATGCCATCTCCAGCGCCGAGTTGTCCAAGAAAGCAGGGCAGCGAGCTGCGGAGTGGAAGCAGGAGGCTGACTCTGTCGCCGGAGCCGTCTCACAAGTCGTGAATGCATCGAGCACGGGGAAGCTGTTCGGGAGTGTGCTGGGCAACCTTAGATCGGGAAGGGGGCTTTTTGGAGAAGAAGTAACGATGAAGGCTGTGAGCACGATCTCTGGTGCTGTAGAAGAAATCATGGACTCAGACGAGGTCGAATACTCGGAGAGAGACAAATGGGATCTTGTGATTTACGGAGGAGACGACACGAGCTTGGAAGTAACGGTGAAGCCGACGCAAAAATGTAAACTGCTGGTCAAGGCCTGGTGCAACGAGGTAGGAGTGGACGACATCGGCAGCTACCAGGCGGAGAGAAAGGGGAAGGTATGCCAGACGCATTCTTCACACCATCGGCTCGCTTCCTTCTGACCTTCCGTACAACCCTGACAGGTTCTGGACCTGGACTCTGAAATTGGCGCTGCAGGAGTGAAGAACGGATCCAAGATTCGAATAGTGAAGAAATCATGATGACCCGGCGGCACTCCACACAGCAGCACCGTGGCACTGAACTTGCCTCATATTCGTACGCAGTGGGTACCGTGTCACAGAGTCAGCCTCAGCGACGCGGCGGTGGCCGCCGCTGCTCCGATGATCCGGCCGGGCGGCGACCGACTCGGTCAGAGCCTGGAGTCACGAGTCTGGCAGCCGCCGCCCGGGGCTGCCCTGCGGCCGCACTGCGGCCCGCATCCGAGTCGTCGGACCGTACTGTGGGAGGGCCCGGGCCGCGCCGGGCAGCGGGCCCTGTCACACCCGCCGGGGCTGACTCAGTTCACGTTCGATCAGAGTCGAGTGACAGTGACCCAGCGACGGCGGGCACGGTACCGTAGTACGGTCTGAGTCCGGGAGTCCGGCGGTCCGGCGAGTCCAAAGCCGAGCCCCCGGGCGCCCGTGACGGTGACTCGGACTCGCCGGGCACGGTCCGATCACGTTCAAGGGCCCCGGCGGCGGCGTGCTCGGACGGGTGACTGACCGCCGGGGCCCGAGTCCGTCGGACTGCGGCCGCCGCCCGGCTGGGCCGTGACGGTTCGGAGTTCGGCCGGCCCGACCTCCGGCCGCTGACTGTGAGTCAGTCACGGTTCGGTCCTCAGCCGGATCGATCCCGTGACCCCACTACCCCCAAGATTCAATTCCTTGCGGTAGAATGGACGGGTGGCTCCTACCTGTTGCAAGTTTCAGGCTGTTGGCAACTCTCGTATATTGCCTGGGTCCGGTCAGACTGAGTCACTTTGGGGAATAATTAAGGGGGTAGGGTCCCATTGTGACCGCTCGCATGAGATCACTACCGGTGCTATGAGTCTTCATTGCAGCAAGGTTGGGAATAAGTAGGGGTAGAACACTGTTCAAAGGACGGGTGAAAAAACGTCAGGGACTTTTAAAAGGGGTCACAGGTACCTTCCGCCGCAGTCGTAACCGTTGGTCAATAATGGGTGGGGTAGTAAAGTGACGGGGTCCTTTCTTTCTTTGTGGAGCACGGTTTTTAGGGTGGGGGTGGTCATTGAGAAACGGTCATACCGGGTACAGAAATGGCAATCCCATACCGTAGGGGTTGTTTCTACAGGGGTCAGGTTGATATAAAAGGGTGGGGTAGGTATAATTGTGGACGGACGAGGGGTAGTCTTCAAATGTGTTCATTTTGTGTAATTGGGAGGGTAGGGGTAGGTGCAAGTTGCCCATCAAATGTATGGGAGGTGATGGGAAAAGGGGGGTGGGGTTCAATGTGACCTGGGGGTCCATCGCCATAGGGGTGTAGACCGGAGATCGGTGGGCGAAAAATGTGCTGCGAGGGGGTAGGTGGTATCCGTTAATTAACATCCGTCCTGTTAGGCGGGTGGGGTAGTAACATCTAAAGTAAAATCGACTAGGTCGGGGTACTGACTTGTACCTAGTCAGTCTCCGATGAAATTCCTCTCATAGGGGGGTGGGGTCTCATGCAACGGTGTCACAGGTAGGGTACTCTCGATTGGAGGAACAGGGTACAAAAGGTGGGTAATTTTTGGGTAAAATGGGGGGTAGGGGTGTGGGCATCCAACAAAGGAAAGTGCCAGATTAGTTAACCCGCCGCTCCTCTTTTGGCGGGAAAAAATCTTCTTCTGCCCCTCCCCCCGCTCCTCCCCCGCCTGCTCCCTGCTTCCCCCCAGCCGCTCTCGCACCCTCCTCCTCCCCCGTCTCCTCCCGCCCTTCCTCCTCCCGCCCTTCCTCCTCCTGCACTCCTCCGATCCGGTCTTGCATCCGTGATCTCCTGCTGCCCTTCCGTTCTATTCCCCTCTTCGCCACTCTCGCTGATCCCGCACGTGAATCGAGCAGGGGGGATCGGGTGATTGTGTCGCTTGTCAGGGCTGTTCTCCGCTCTCAGGCACATCCCCTTGACAAGCAACCTCCAGAAACAGATCGAAAATGGCAAGACCCTCAAGTGCAAGCAGCAAGTCCAACGTTCCCGGCAAGAAAGTCGTTGGCGTGGTTGATACCTTCCGTCAGTCCAAGCCCGGCCGAAGAACGTCGAGTTGCGACATGACTCCCACTAAGCCTTCCCTGGAATGCTATCAAGGACAGAAAGATGAAGAGCATGCACACTCGAGTATGGCAGATATGAAGCGAAGATGTCCTCCGATGGGGAAGAACGAGAGCGAGTGGGTGCGCAGTGAGCACCCTGGACTCCTCACGATGCACGATGGGACAAAACGTTGGTACCATTGCGAAAGATGCTCCTACTTCAACAATCGCCTGTATCACAGTAAGATGCATTATCTGCGCATTCATGTCAAGAATGGAAAGTCGGTTATCCGTAAGAGAAAGTATCACAACGAATCGGACATGGCCCCGAACGTTCCAATCCTGAGCCACCAGAGTCTTGAAATGCCGCCAAGGATGGAGCGTCCAATGCATCATCCTAGCTATTCAATCCCAAAGCAGCCGGAGATGGTCTCTGCAGTACCTGGATCAGCAAGGAATGTGATGCTTCCCAGCAAGCCAGTGCCCAAATACAATCCAGGCTTCGGGGGACCACTTGTGATGTTTTCAGAAGTTCATCCACGAAGCTCTTGTTCAGATTATACAACTATCCAAGATGGGAGTGAGCCCAAGAAAAGGAGAAAATCTAACTTCAAGAAGGTCACTCGCAAGAGACTTGATTTTGAATGCAAAGACGGTGGTCCATGGTCCCCAGATACTGCCAAGATCCTTACATTCTGTGACTCCTCGATTGGAAGCGGAATCCCTGAATCGAAACCTTTGTTCTTGGACCTTGGTGTCTCCAACTTGAACATGGTGAACTCGATCCCATGCAAAGCCAACGCAGTGAGCTGGCCGCGTGTCAAATCAGAAACAGTGACTGTCAAGTCTGAGGAAGGCGCAGGTGCATCAATTGACAAAGGACTGAATGAATGCGAAGTGAAGAAGGAGAGGAACATTGAAGATGATCTTTCGGAGCATCGAGATGATGGCAGCATCCCCATGCAGCTTCTCACCCCTCAGACTTCACCTAGCAGGCCGATCAGCATCAAGTCACCTATGTTGCACTCGCCTCAACATTTCTTCTTGTGTGGGGACGGCTCAACATTGGAAGGGTATCCATCAGTCACACCTGACCGTCTCAAGACTCCGACTAGAATTCCTGCGGACGATGCTGTTCTACATCTGTGTACATCGATCAGCTCTGGTGACAGGATGAGGACCAGGGCCTTCACGCCCATGAAGGGTTCGAGCAACCCTCATGTGGAAGCCGAGAATGCGATCTTAGAAAGCCTGATCTGCCATGAGATCATGGACACAACGATTGCCTTCAACGATCTGGACAATTTTGATGACTGGGGAGACAACCAGGTGAAGATGTACTTGTCTCAAGACATGGAGGGCTAACTGGAAATGCGCAGAAGGAGATCGAGAACGATCTCAACACCTGGCAACCGGCTTCCTCAGATGGCATCTGTGCTGCTACTTAATCTCTCCACCACCCGGTGGATTGTTTGTGCTGTAACCTAAATGTGTACTTTACCTGTGTGATATTCGAGCTTGAATTGTTTGCCTCCAACAGTAATGTTATTCCTGACTTTGTGCTGCTATATAAATTCGTAAACCAACGCCTGACATGGGTTGAATATTCTATCTGCCGAATAGATTCTACCGGCTGGGCAAAACATGTCGCTCTGCCAACAAAGAACCTCTGCTTTTCTGCTATCCTCGCAGTATGACTTGCCGAGAAAAGTCTAGCCGAGATCGAAATGAGCAGGTGCATCCATGATGCTTGAGCATCACTCAGAGAGGAGTGCGGAAAGGAGGATGTCAAGGCAACAACGCGTGAGAGATTCTGAAGCAGGAAGATCTTCATCTGTATGAGATTATACAACATGCTACTTTCATGCAGCGGCCGCTTCCTTGGCCTCCTCGCCCTCAGCCTGCACAAGAGTGAGTAGTCGACGAGGCGAGGCTCAGGGGAGGATAGAAGTACTCAGATGAAGGGACAAGACCAGAATAAAGAGGACGAGACTGACAAGAAAAGGACAGGAAGACGAGAAAAGTAGGAAGACGTGAAAGGCGAGGCCGGACAAGATCGGGCATAAGCCGCAAAGGAGTTGTGTGAGGGAGAGGGAGAGGAAGAGGAAGAGGAAGAGGAGAGGAAGAGGAAGAGGAAGAGGAAGAGGAAGAGGAAGAGGAAGAGGAAGAGGAAGAGATACTTACAGGTGCCTGGGCAGCAGTGATCTTCTTGGCCAAACTCTCACGCTGGTAGCGGTTGGCATAGGCCTCATAGCACCACCTGCAACAAGCCTTGTAAACATACCGAAAGCATATTGATTCTCCTTCCTTCCCCCCTCTCCCCCCTTTCCTCTTCCCTCCCTCCCTCCGCACTCGCACTGCATCCTCACCTGTCTGGCATGGAGACGCCCAACTGACCAGCGGTGGCCTTGATCTACACGAGGGCATGAGAAGAGAGGAAGCGAGGGAGCGCCGGCTGCTTCACCTTGCGCATCAACTTGGGGTACATGGTGGAACCAGCCTCCTCCTTCATGAACTTCTCGACCTGGGGCCTCGTCAAGACCACGAGCGGACGGGAGGCAACAGGAGGAGGAGGAATCGTGAGGGTCGTCAGAGCAAACGCTCTCCATGCAGCAACAGCATGAAGAGGTGGAGGACAGAGGAGCGCAAGTTCCCAGCAGGGACGAGAGATCCCAGGCAAGGAATAAGACGAGGAAGGAGTAGGAAAGTGCAGAGAGGAAAGGGAGGGAGCGGAGGAGGGAGGACGGTACCTTCTCGTTGAGGATCTCAGAGGGAAAGTTCTCCTTGGTGGCCTTGTCGAGCTTGGCGATGATCATGCCCTTGGTAACGTCGACTCCGGTAACCTTCCTGACCTTGACGACAGTCTGGGAGGAGCCCTTGCTCTTCTTCTCGCGCACAACAGTGCGGGTCTGAGACGAGGCGTCAGATGTTCGATATGTAAGGGAGAAAGGAGCGAGAGGGGAAGGAGGAGAGGGGAGGAGAGGAGAGGAGAAGGGAGGGGAGAAGAGAAGAGGAGAAAAGGGAAGAGAACAGGAGTGGTGAGGGGATACGATTAAGATTTTGGACAGAGGGACAAGGAGAGGATTGCGGGGCAAGGGACTAGGACGAGGGACAACAAGGATGTGAAACACGAACAGAAATGAAACAGAAATGAGACACGAGACAAAGGCAGGGATTGTACAAGTTGCACACATCCTGAAAAGTAAGCTAGTCTAGGCATAACGCCATCAACATCATCTCCATCTCTATCACATTCAAAACCTTCCTAATCAACTCACGTTGCCCTTGCCGAGACCAGTCTGCGCTCCCTTACGACCCATGCAAATGGTGGAGACGCCAGTCGAGGTCCTGAGCCTGGGAGCAGCGCCGAGAGAAGGAGCTGCGAGAGCCAAAGTCAGACAGTGAGGTGTAGAAATGTCAAGGACGAGGGCCAGGAGGAGGCGGATACAACAGGAGGAGGAGGAGGAGGAGGAGGAGGAGGAGGAGGAGGAGGAGGAGAAGGTGGTGGTGGGGAAGATGATGCGATAGCATGATGTTTCAAAAAGATAACAGGAGGAGCGTGAGGCGCGACCGAAAGTGTTTTAAAGCAACACATATCAGATCGGGAAAACTCAATACAGGAGCAACAAAATACACCAGAGGGATACGATCTGCATGGTTTTCCTATTTGTTGTGTGCATCTCTTTCTCCTTTCATCGCTTCTATTAAATGGCTTTTCACTAGTTGTGTTGTACAGACATCACCACACGGTAAGACAAACATCACACGAGAGCTGAATTTCTCATTACATGCCATCTTCTCGGGATCATCAAAACACCATGAGCAATCAACCATATCGAACATCTCGACACCTTGACAGCGAGCATCCAGTATCACCGTCCCGCCCCCCCCACTCCAACATCAACCCAACCCTCAACACGCTTCATGAGCTACAAACATCAGTTCTGGATGATCGTCAAGGGGAGGCATCATGGAGCACCATCTCGCATCTTTCTCATCATCTCTTCTCTGCGCACTTACACATGGTCCAGGCTTCTCCTCCAGCCATCATCGTTGCCATCACGGCAGCTGCAGCAACCCACTTCGCCATCGCCGACTCCTAGTTTGGTACCCCACCACCCCATCTCCGTTTTCTATGCACCCCATGCTCTACTCCCATTTCATGGAATGACCGGTACTTTATCATGATCTTTCAGGGGTATTGTAAAATCCACAAGTGTCTGTCGAGGGTGGGGTACAATTTGAGGGGGTGGGGGTAGGGGGTAGAGGAGGCCGGCCCCCCACGTGCCTTTAGGTACCAGGGTAGGTTAGGGTAGGGTGGGTGCGAATACTAAAATGTGGGGGTACAAGAGTCAGAACGAGGGGTGGGTACCCCATGTGGTGAAGTACCGGTGTAAATACGTGAACGAAAGGGGGTGATGACAGTCTGTGTAAGTAGCGAGGCCCGGACTCCCGGCCGGGCCGGGCCCGGCGCCGTCCGGTGCCGTACTATCTATAGTCAATAATTTTTGTCATCAGGACAGAAATTTAGAAAAATTCTAGCTAAAAGAGATAGAATGTTCTGGAAGTCTTTTTGTAATTTCATGGCTCCCTAGCAAATTTGGGTGTTACAGGTTGAAAATGCTATAGTCAAAGGAAAGAAGAATGCGAAGAGGAACGCGTAGTGGAGGCGAATGGGAAAGGCGGGAGCGGAGGAGGAGAGGAGGAGGAGGAGGAGGATGTGTGTGAGAGAGAAAGAGAGCAGGAGAGGAAGAACTGTCATGTGCGGGAGGTGAAGGAGACTCTGCTTCACTCCTGGAGGGTTGAGACCGGTGGCTTCCCGGAGAGATTTTGTGTCGCGCGAAGAGCATGGCCTTCAGGTGGTAGGAAAACTGCTGCATAGCCAGCATGGAGGAGGATTGCAACAACTGCGATGATGGTCATGGCCGAATTTGTGTCTGCGGTGAGGGATGGAGAGCGATCCGAAGACGTGGTAAGAGGTCTTCGTGGGTAGACCGACATGGGCTCGATGCCAGTGATGCGAACCGAACAACACAGCAGCAGCAGAAGCAGCAGCTGAAGTCACATCAAGACGCTGTGGTTTATATCTGACCGTGTGGTGAAGGGTGCGTTGTCCCTTGCTGAGATCCCAGGCCATGGCCCGCGTTTATGGTGAGCAGAATGGCTCGCGATGGGATGGGGCCTTGATGTTTGTTGGTGGTCAGTTGGAAACTTGCCTCTTGACATCCGAGAAAGAGATATTGATGACCTGTTCTACAAGTATGGACGGATCCGCGATATTGAGGTGAAGACGCCTTCTAGGTGAGACGGGAGCAAGAGCTCCAGTGAATGAAAGAGGCATGAGTCATGAGTCATGCAGGCCCCCTGCGTTTGCGTTTGTTGAATTCGACAACCTGTATGATGCCGAGGATGCTGGTACGTTCGTCACTTCTTCCCTTGAGTTCGTGTGGCTGACCAGCTCGCCGCAGTGCGAGGACGAGGTCAGATGTGACTATGGCAGTCTTGTCGTGTCCTGACCCCAGGGATGTGCGCACTTCCATGTACAGATGGAGTCATGTTCGAAGGAGCAAGGCTGCGAGTGGAGATGTCGCGTGGAACGGCTGCGACTTACGGATACGACAAGAGGGGGTCGGGCAAAGCTCCTCCTCGCAACCTGAGGCGCTCTGACTATCGAGTGATTATCTCCGGCCTGCCCAAGTCAGGTTGGTGGGCCGTCCTGGATGCGGCAGAGGTTGACGATGCCGAGCAGCTTCATGGCAAGATCTCAAAGACTTCTTCAGACAGGCTGGAGAGATCGTCTACACCGATGTTGATCGACAGGTCTGCGCAGATTGTGCTGAGTCGTCAAAGCCACATCGTTGAGTTGCTGATTGAAGGGTGGCGGGATCGTGGAATTCGCCAACGAGGACGATCGGGTATGTGTTGCAAGTGTGTCATACCTCTCCATCTAACGATCAGTTGGATGACTGCAGGACTATGCGATCAAGAAGTTCGATGACACTGAGTTCTCAAACCCGTTTGACCGGGGCTACATCCGTGTCATGAAGCCCAGGTCCGTCACGACCGCTCAGCCCCGCTGCTCTTGAAGTATTCCTGACTGTGTGCCGCATCAGAGATCAGATGACGTCGGAGGAGAGAGAGCGGGAGGATGAGAGGGAGAGGTGGGTGTACCCTGCCAGTAGCTCGAACACTCGTGACCCTTGCCTTCCCTTTCTTGGACAGGCGCGACAGATCGAGGTCCCGGGAACGCTGCAAGTGATGTCACTCCTTTCACAGTCCCATCTTTTCTCTTGCTCCTTCGTCTTATCCTTCATCTTACAGGCCTCGCTCTCGCTCAAGGTCCCGCTCCCGCTCCGGATCCCGTCGCCGGTCCATGAGTCGGAGCCCTGCCCATGACGGTGAGGATAAGGGGAGTGGAGGAGGCTCTGACATGTTCGCTCAGACAAGGAAGATCCTCCGCATGGAGCGAAAGAGGAACAGAAACAGGATTCCAAGGAGGAGGCATCCACTGAGGAGAAGAAGGAGGCTGCGGGAACGTCGAACTGAACCTCAGCATATACCGAGGAGGAGGGCACTACTTTGCTGAGCGCGGCGAGAGAGTATAGCGAGGCTTTCTGACCAACACCTTCATTCAGCATCGGATATCTGAGCAAGCCTAGCCTACGCCGGGCGGCCTGGCCCATAACTTTCTCCCCAACGGTCCCGGCATTCACTGAACTTTCTAGACTGACGCAGGCAAGTTGTACTTCGGCCTCCGGCCAGTGACAGATTGAAAATGAGTTAAAGCGGCTACTCTTTCTCAGTTTTTGATCAGTGAAATCATGTCAAGTTGAACTTCCGAAGTTCTTTGTCGCTGCCATGCATACTGGCAAGTCACTCACTGGCAGTGCTTCCGAGCGGAGCCTACTGAGTCCGATCACACGGCGGTGGGGCGGGCCCGCCGGACGCCGAGTCGAAGTTCCGACAGTCGTACGGTCACTCCGTCACCGCCTGAGGGCTTGCCGCAGTGCCAGTCAGTGAACCGGCGGGCCGGCAGCCAGCGTACCGGGTCGGATCCGAGACTCCGCCTGACAGTGACTGACGGTCCCGAGTCCCGGCGGCCGCACTGGAGTACGTCATCATCAGTGGCAAGTTGATTGGCCCGCCGGGAGCCCGGCCGCACTGTTCACGGCGCCGGGTCCGGCATGCGATTATACTGAGCCCTGACCTTACCGGACTCGGGCCTCGGGACTCCGAGCCTCCGAGTGCGGCGGGACTCCGGGACTCGGGGATCCGAGTAATCCCAGACCCTCGTCCCCCCTCATCCCCGGCATGCGCTGATCCCGCATGTGCAATATTTCTCTGCTCTGTCATGGAGCAAGGAGAAGGAGAGGGGGGGAGAGATGAAGGAGAGGAGGACGAGAGGGAGAGAGATGAAGGAGAGGAGGACGAGAGGGAGAGAGAGG